ACCCATTGCACTTTTTCCAGTGCTGCGTTCCTACAGACTCTCTAACACATTTTCCCCCCCTCATTCTTCTAGTGGAGTACGGGAATCCTTAACACTTCCCGGCTCCTGGTCACTGGAGTGTTGGATCATGGGGGCTTCCTCCTGAGTGTGCTCAAATTCACTCAATAGGGTGGTAGTATTCTGCCAGTGTAGGTGGTGTGACTATCCTCCTACCATGGATCTGATGTATGATTCCGAATGCCATGTGATGTGGACTGAATTTTTCTGTGACATTCCAATATACAGTTCACACCTCCAACTGGCAACCCTTCTTCCTACTGCTGTCTGGATGTTGATTCTCAGATTACTGGTGTTAATTGGAGCTGGACCAGTTGACATAAATCCTCACATATGATTGGGCTGGGAATTTCCTCCTACTGTGGACTTGATGATACATTAATGCCACATGGTTTTGGACTGGAGTTGACCTTCCACATTGCATTTTCACCTTCCTACCATCCTCTGGATGTTGATTACCAGGAAGTACAGGTGTTGGTCATGTTGGATATGCACACATGATCACTTGGGTTCTCATAACAAAAGTCTTCATTTCCCTCTGGGTCTTGAGTCTGAGTTGAATGGTAGAGGACCCTCCTCCTACCCTAGGCTGATTGATTCAATCTGGGTTCCACAGGCTTTGGATTGGAGTTGTCCTCTCACTTACTGCCCAACACACCCTAGTGACACATTAATTTATCAAGGGTGAGTAGTATACATGGTTCAGATATGGTGTTGTCTCTCATGAGTGTGTTTCCTCTACATTGAGATCTCACACTCCTTAGGTACTTTTCAGATACTTTCTGAAGGAGACTCTTCTAGGTAACTTTTACACCAGTTCCTCCACCTAGTTAGTGTGACAGTCTAGCTATTTTGTGAGAAGAGTTAAGTTATTGTATAAGAAGTTAATATTTTCTTACACTGAAAATATATTTCCAATAAATACCTCCTCTCACACTTTGCACCTGTCCTCCCCACTTTTGATGTGTTTTTTCATCCCTAATCTCAAAGTTGTGACTGGGTTCTACTGCATAGAGAGAGTCAGCTGTGCATGGGGGTAGGTGGGAGCATAAAGCTAGTGGCAAGTGAAATTTATGCATATAGAGGGCAGTACAAATCAAGGAAAGCTATTTTGTGAAAATAGGTAAGTATCTATCAGAAATATATTTTCAGCATAGGAAAACATAAACTTCAGTTTTTTTGTGTTGAAAACATTTTTGTACATGTAACAATACATTGTAGAGAAACTAAGTTACATGTTTATTGCCTTGAGATTCTGACACTGTTTAAAGTTCTAGGAGCTAAAACTATATGTATCTTTAGGTTTTTAAGTTACCTTATCATAAATTGGTAGATTAACGCTGGTCATTCTATCTTGTTAAATAAGAAAAAGTTTAAGTCACAGTCTTTTTCTCACTTTAAGTGTCAATATAGAATATTGTAGTTAATAATTTTGTATATTAATTTGAATAAGTTTTTTATATTTTGTTCAATGGATGAAAAGTTTGATTTAGACTTACTGTGCATGTGAACTACAATAGATAAACATTTGTTTTACTTAATGCCCAGAAAGTGCAAAATTGAGCTGACATAAGCATTTTCCACCTACTTATAGGCCCATTTGTTTTGTATAATGACAGAAGTTTAAGGTTGGTTTAAGTGTGAGAACATTTCAATGCAGTTCGCAGTTTTCAGTTATATCATTCTACTTAAATTCATGAATGCATCATACTTTATTTGTTTATCTCTTAATCCAAATACTTTACATCACTTCTGGTTTTATAAGTAGGAAGCACTGTTTATCTCTTAGCCTCTCCCCTGCCACTTTATGATATATGGACTTTCTCACTCACATTTTTGCAAGATTTTTGGGATTGCTTTTGATCAGTAAACAGTGTCCATGTGAAGTATGCTCAGTAGATCATTTTCCTTACTCTTTGTATTGAAGACCTATTTTTTTTCAAGGTAAACAACAGTAGCAGTACTTTTATTTAACAGGTCATTGTACTAGCTTCTGTGTGCAGCCATAAAAGGTATTTCACGAGAACATGTGGCGTATGTAATCAGTTACTCGATATAACTGAATATGCATGATAAGTGATTACGTCAGTTAAAGTTGAGTAGACTAATCAATTAATTAAAATTATTATTAAATCAAGTAATCAAAATTTGTGTTTCTGATTATTACTGTTTTTGATTTTTCCAACAATATTGTAGTCAAAATTACAATTAAATCGATTGTATGAAAATAATCAACTTATCAAAATTAGTGTTTCTGATTTTTACTGTTTTTGATTATTCAAACAATTGATGAAGCGAAATTTCAATTATATTGATTGTCATGAAAATAATTGACCAATTGAAATTAGGGTTTTCAATTATTCAAACAATTTATTAATCAAAATTAGAGTTTCAAGTTATTTAATTATTTTCAATTATTCCAACCATCCAAGTAATTGAAATATTGCTATAATATTTGTTTGTTGTTAAGCCCAAAGCTACATAATTGGCTGTATGTTACCTGTCCATTTTTAATCTTATAAGTTGTTTTATTTTTCTTCAACTTTGTTTGGCTTTGTTGATGTGGGAGAAGGAGAAATAGGCATTAATTGAAGGATTTGGATTCAATTCTCATTGCCATGAAACTTGCTTACCCTGTCTTTGTTATGGCAAAGCAACCAAGGCTATCTGCAATTGTTGCTAATTTTAAACTGCTGAACAAAGGGAAGGTAACTGGTTAGTAGCACATGCCACAAACGTTTTGTTGTTTATTGCTTGTATGTACCATGGTTTGAAAAACACTGTACTTATTGATTAATTGATTAGTAGATACCACTAATTGCCCAGCTCTTGAGTTTTTTTACAGTTAATTTCAATAAGACATGATGCCTGTCACTTTTGCTTGTCACAGGAGAAATTTAGAAAGAATGAGAAAAATACAATATTATCACTTTAATGGAAATAATCTTATGTTGCATCTTGTCATATATTTGTGTTTCATGCTATGCCTTCACACAATGCTTTTGCTGGCTTCTCATCAGCCGAATGATATAATATGCATGAACTGTACTTTGGTCTGTGGAATTGTATAGATCATAATAAACATTTTATTGAAAGTATTTGAAGAAAATATTACACTATTTTGTTGATTTCAAATAACAAATGTGTTAGCTGACACCTTTAAGATGTATTTAAAAACTTTAAACAATTACCTAGTTGTGTCACCTTGTCGAACTAAGTACTTTGTTTCATAGGAACATCCTGCAAAAGGCTATATGTAAATGACATATTTTTGAATATAGGAGCTATTATTTCTTAATTTCAAACATTTATTTTTAATAGTCATACAGTGGCTTTATTTTGAATTATTTAGTGAATAAGTGCTACAAGTTAGCTAATTCCAAATCTTTAGTCATATATATTTTTCTTTTTGAAAACTGAAGTTTCATAAGTTAAGTAAGTATTACTTTGTTACTTTCTGCATAACTGTCCTTTTTTCTTCTGGGACCTTGTTTTGTTAATGTATGAAAACTAATATTTATATCTTGGAATCATTTTGGATGAACTCTTTGACTATTGATTTAAAACAAATTGTTTTGAAGACAGTGTTATCCTGACTTCTGCTGCTGCATTGTATCATTTTCTTTTAGTTTCATTTTATTTGCTGGGTCAATAGTCAAACTTGGTGTGGGCAGTCATGTTAAACTGTAATAGTTTCTAATTATTACTGATAATTTTTCTTTATCAGGCAGGCAGTAGCACTGCCTATATAAGGATGGCTTGGATTGTTCATTGAAATGGTATTTTAAATATCTTTACAATTCTATACCGTGTTTTTCTTTTGTAACAATATTTATGTAATGGCTGAGTCACAAATCCTGGAAATGTCTGTAAATATCATAGCAAAAAGTTGAATTTCTTGTTCTTTCTTCTTTCATAATTCAAAAATCAAAACAATGGTGTCAACCAATACCAATGAGGTTACATAGTTTCAAACAAAGTATCCACTTCTATAAGTATTATTAATAGCTAATCGTAATTTTTAAAAAAATCATAATTCTTGTGTTAATATTACCCCTTGAGGCTAGCTTTCCTACAGACATTTGGTGTTCCTTTAAAAAACTTAAGTACAGGGTAAAAACAGGAATTACTAGCCAATAATAGTTAAACAATAGATATTACAGTTGGAACCTCATTGTATTTAGAATGTGGTTATAAATACAACCCTACATTTACTTCCTTTTTTTGAAAAGTTTTTCTTTACTTGTTTTTTAATGCAGTGGTGGCTAATATCAGTCCTTCAAAAACAATGCAAACAAGATAGTAGGGATGGAATATGCATCATCCATAATAATACCACAGGGAAGAATTAACATATAGCAATATATATAACTATTCAATCACAATTGAGTTTAATTTATCCTATTTTTGTCTGTTAACCTTCTACTACACTATGTGCCTCAACTATTATGTTGGGATGATGCAAATGCCATCCCTACTATCTTATTTGCATTGTTTTTGAAGGATTGATATTAGCCATTGCTACATTTACTTCCTTTTTTGAAAATTGATTTCTTTCTTTGTATTCAGAGGTGAAATTCTTGAAAAAAGTAGAGGTATTCAGTTGGGTGAAGTATACCTGTTTTAAAAAAGGAAAAAATCAACGTGTAAACATAAAAAATGGCAAAGCAGCTCGAATAAGTACCGGTACTCAGTACTGGTGAGTACCAGCAGAATTTTACCCATACTTGTATTAAATACAGTCAGTATGAGGTAACATGTGTTGACATGAAGAAAAGTTATTGAATATGCTAGCTTGAATTGAATTTTTTATTTACTATGAAAAATATTAAGTAAAAATGTATGGTTATTACGTTTCATACTTGTATAGTTGTAAAACTTTTCTCTTTTTCCACTTGAAAATTATAAAATTTGTTAATTGAAACTGTTCATTACAATTTCAGGAGGAGTTTATCTTGTCTCAAGAATGAAGAGACTAATATCAGAATGATTTAGGTATGTATATTATAAGTTATTTAAAAATATTTAATATGTTTAACCCCATTTATATGATGTTATGATTTACTTTCAGCAGCTTACTTTTAAGTGTGATTAGTTCATTAGTCATTTAATCAGTACATGAAAATAATTAATTAGTCCAAATTAATGTTTTTAATTATTGGTGCTTTCAACTATTTCAACAATAAATTAATCTAAATTAGGTTTTCTGATTATTACAATTTTTGATCATTCTAGCTATCAAAGTAATCAAAGTGTAGCTATATTTTCAGAAATTCTATTCACTTTCTGTATCAAGTTAAGTGAATAAATGGAAGATGGGCTTTGATTATAATAAATGCAAGGTAATGCATGTTTTTTTTACAAGATATACTGGAATTTTCATGTTTATTGTTTTAACCTTAATTTTCTTGATTACCTGAAAGAGCAATTCTAAATTTTAAACTTATAATTCAAAGCTTTCCTTTAAATTATCCTCAGTTTTATTTTCTTGTTCTTTGTAGACATATGTCTCATTGTTTGTTCCCATTGTTTAATCCAACATGCTGGTTCTATCCAGTGCTCTTCAAGTCATTATTAGGCCTATGTGCCATCACCATACCCATTTTCTGATAACATAAAAAAATATGTACCACCACAACACACAACATTAGCTTTGTGGTTTAACAGGATTACGCATTCATATTCCCATGTTTTTGACATATCCTGAGGGTTTTAATACTCCTTCACAGGAGTCATCCAATAGTGTAATGGTGTCTGGAGACACTCTGAGAGTCAGTGATATTATTGCCATTGTCACCATATGGTTGGGTCCATTCTGATCATGGATTCAGGATTCCTGACTGCCTGTTTCTGTTACTTCATCTGAGCCTGCCCCAACTTGTGAGTGTTTCACCACTGTTGTTTCCATGCTTGCTCTTTGTTCTCTACTTTCTGCCTATTTCTTTATCTTTTTGACATAGAGGTTTTGATTCCAGGACTCTTGTATCTCCATCATGTCATGCAGGAGTTTTTTTTGGGAGATACTGTCATTCCTCTTGGATGTGCCCGTACATGTCCCCTTCAGTAGTTTCAGGCCTGTCAATGCAGGTATCTCCAGAAATATGCTATTTTCTTTTCAACCTCACTGTAGGAGTGGGAGATAGGTTGACTCATTTGATAGGAAAATGGCTGATTGAAAAAAATCAAAATCTATAAGTGGAGTTCAGTCAAACTGGATTAATGTCAAGTAGGGTACTTCAGGACTCATTGTTAGGGCCTTTGCTCTATTTGATTTACATCATTGACATAGATGAAAGAATGGTCAGTAAATTTCTTACATTTGCTGATGACATTAAAGTTTTGGATTATTTGATGAGTTAAGTGAATAAATGAAAGATGGGCTTTAATTATAGCAAATGCAAGGTAATGCATGTGGGATATCATAATTTGAATAATAAGTATAATTATGATGGGAATAACCTTAACAGTATTATGGAAGAAAAGGATCTTGCTGTTCTTGTTGATAAATCTCATAAGCCATCTAAGCAGTGTACTGTTGCTAGTTGGAATAGCTAATAGGATTTTAGGTTGTATCTACAAAAATATTGAATACAAGTTTGAAGAGGTTATAATGTCATTGTTTGGGTTATTGGTTAGGCCTCATTTGTATTATTTGTATTTAGTCTTAAGCATTATGTCTTAGGAAGGACATCAGAAGGAGGCTGCTAAGATAGAAAGGTTGTCATAACAAGGACAGGTTAAGATCTCTGAAATTGTTTGCTTTTGCAAAATGAAAATAGTTACGAGGGGATCTCACTGAAATATTTAAGATTTTTAATGAAATTGATTGTATTGGTGCATCATTTTTTGTCCTTAATGGTAAAAATAATAGGACTAGGGGACACAGCTACAAACTTTAGCGAGGTAGGAGTCATCTTAAGCTAAGACAATTTTATGTTTCTAACAGGGTGTTACCTTTGAAATGCATTGTCTTTAGATGTGTTGGATTCAGGAAATTTAAGGGAGTTTAAGGGAAGGCTTGATGAATATTTGAATAATAAAGGCTGGCATTGAGTGTTTTAATTTTATTTTAAAGGTTTGTGTAGCAGATGGGATGGGATAGCCGAACCATTAGGTTCCTTGTTGTCCTAAAGTTATATATATACAGTACTGTATATGTATATTTAGTTATAATCTTTTTTAATAATGAAGTGATATACTTACCATGAAACAACATTAAATGTTTGTGTATAATAATATGTGTTGGTAAACAAAGGGTTAAACATAATCTCTGCAGTGAAACAACATGTTATTTAAAATTGCAGTATTCTCCATTTTATACTCTCTTTACCTATTAAACTTAACCTACTATGTGTTATACATATATATCATACCTAGTCTACTAAACCATGTATTTACTTATTCTACACAGTCCACTAAACTTATCCATCTGTTCAACTGAACCTACTCTGTACTTACCTTAAATATTATACTTTTTATACACCTGGAACTAACATCATCTTTATGTAGATGTGAAACTGACACACACATACATATGGAAACATTTTTATAGCTTAAAATCTGGAGATCAATGACATTTGTCTTTACATTTAAAAGATATAACGTGGCATATGCTGTGGTCTGAAAATAGATTCTTGAAAAAGAAGATATAATTTGAAACCACTAGAAAGATAAGAAATTATCATAAACACTGGGATATAGCTTACATTTATGTATGCGTTTCTTTTTCCAAGTTTGCTAATATCATTTAATAAAGTTATACATATATGATGAATATACTGTTAAAGTTAAGGGTACTTTTCTTTCAGAGTTCAGCAATGGACTTGGTCCCAGATAAGGCCCCCATTTATGTAAGTATTTAGTTGAAGTGTTTATATTTTGTTTAATACAATTTTATTAGGAAAATGTAAACTGCAAGTAAATGTATTTGTGTACATCAAGCTACCTGTATTGGTATATGAGACATACATTTGAAACACAGTGTAGTTATTTAGTTATTCTTTTCTTAGTGAAAAAACAGTTGATCATGGCTCAACTGAGATAAAATGCATTTGAGGCAGAATTTGAAATTATTTTTTGTCAAAGTATCTGTTATTAACGTAATTTGTACTGTAGTCTGTGCTCTGTATAAACCATCAATGATTTTAAGCTACAGTACTTTGAAATACAAACCTATTTCTAATATCATCTCATACTACAGAATATATATGTATTGTATGTGCAAAAAATCAGGCTGTTCCTTTCCTCTACCTGTGTTCTTCCTTTGGGTTAAATGTCTGCTATTTGCAGTCAGTAAACTTGTGCAAATCTCATTTTATGTGAGAACAATATGTGTTTCATGGCCTCTGTTTACAGAATCTAGACCAATTATCTTCTCTCAAACAGCATTATCTCTTTTTGACATGCATTGCACTTGTGGTATATTCTGCAGTTAAATTTTCTCTTGGCACTTTTTTGTTATTTACTCAAATATATTGTAGATGCTTATTTTTTTCCATTCTTCCAAAACATACATACTTTTTCTCCCACTACAGATATTACTCAATTGCCAGGGTTTCTTCCTTTGCCTAAGTGATAATATTATCTAAATGAGGTGTTTATATACAGTACCAGGATAGAGGACACATTGATGTAGGTGGAGGATGTCATGAGACAAATATTGCCAAGGGCAATTAAGTGGTTTATAAAAGACTGGAGCAAGCGAGAAATAATCAAACCAATGCTTAGATGGACAAAGGAAAAAAACCTTGGCAGTCAAGTAAAACCTATGGTGTGAGAAGAGACAAGTATTGTTGGAAATACATTTTTCATTTAAGAAAATGTTAACATTTGTTTTGTACATAGGAATCACATTTATCAGTTTCAGGCTTTTCCTTGTTGTCTGGTTTAACTTCTTGTGTTTTCACTAGGTACTTGACTTGTAGCATTTTATCTTCATGAACTGGGAACAGATTTTCCTTAGTACTTGAATGATTATTTGACTCTGTCATCTTCCTAGTCTTGCACCTTGATGAACATTCAACTAGCTCTGAACCTTGTCTTAAGTTTGGTTTGAACTGTGAAAGGAATCTAAGTAATGTCTTCAGTTGTCTCAGTGTCTTATCTGTCTGTGTTTAGTGATTGGCTGTCATCTGGAAGGTTCTTCAGCTCAAGTCTTTCACTTATCAAATCATTTCTTTGAACAAATATGTTGTGCCTGCAGCTCTTTTGATAACTCTGGGTGTGGTGTACCTGAATCATTTTCAGTCCACTGTTTCTGTTAGTAGAGGCTCACATGGTGTTGAGTTGGTGGTTAGACTAAATACTACACATATTTATTTGGATATTTTGAGCTTTAGTTTTGATTTGTTCATGGATTGTAGACATTATAGATGCTAACCTTCATGATGGTAACTGTGTTACCAGAATTAGTTGACTGTAACTAATAATAAAGATTTTACCTTTCATTGTGCCGAAAAATGTTGGTTATTGTATTTTTATACTCTTAATATCTTAATACTGGCCATAAAACTTTGGTTTGAGCTGACAATATCACCTTGATCACATGGTTCTTTAGGTTTTACGTTAACATTTTTCTTGGTGAGTCTGCAGAAGTCATGCTTTGACACAGAATGAAACTTATAAATGATTATAGAGTGCACATGGCAGATAATAATTGAGGAGAAAGTAGGAAGAGGAATAAAAACAAAGTTATAATTTTTTGTACAAACGAGATATATGGGCTAAAACTATATTACTTGGTATCTCTTTAAATTACATTTTCCTCCTAAAATGTTAGTATTCATAAGTTTACACTGACAAGCTTAATGATGATGCAATATTACAGGGTGGGGAAGCCATCTACGTTCAGTTACACCTTGATTCCTTTCCACCATTATCCCAAAAAGAATTTGATGAGGGAAAATTTTACTTTGTTTTTTTGGGTTCAAGGCTAAGGCATGTCACTCCTGCTAGGGCTACATGGAATCCTGATTCACTGACATTAACAAGTCATATTCCTGGTAAGTAATTGCCATAATAGTGTGAAATGAATTTTTTAAAACACATATTATTCTTTCTAAGAGCTAAAACTTATTCATACGTGTGAACATTGAGGTTGCCTTTTTATTTGCACTGTTAGTTTTGTTTTTATGTTCTATATTAACAGACAGTATATTAGCCAGTCATTTATTTTTTAAAAACTAAATTTAATTAGAAAATGTTATTATTATGACAAAGATTACACTGAAGATTTAGTCATTTCCTTGCTGTTGTGATGCGTCTTTATGTAAGTAATGATTTTTTTTGCATACATATACTTTATGTATTGATGAACTTTTGCTTTTAGAATACATAAAAAATACATGTTTGTTTGTCTTTTATAAAACAGAATGCTATTCATGGTGGAACTAATCTATAGAATTCTTTAAAAAAATTATGTATTTAATATAAAATGCACTTTCGTTTAAAAAAGTTTGATGTAGATCTCAGCTTTAATTATATCTAAAGGATGTTCATTCATGTACGTACATAAACATAGTTATGTAAGTTACAGGTGAAAATATGCTTATCTGCAATAATACAATAATGTTTGTAAATACAGAAATAAAAAAAAATGTAACTAGCATAACATAAATAAGTAATTGTTTGAATATAATGAGCCAGCGTATACTGTGGGCTATCGATTAAACTTTTTAGACCATTCCACATTTTAAGGCATATATTATTTGGTATGTTGTGGTTAAAACCAGGGTACTTGATGTACATCTACAGTAACCAGTTCTAAAAATAACAATTTCCTTAATTGTAGTTTTTGGAACAAATTTAATATGGTAAACATACAGTGAAACACAAACCATAAGCTTATATAAGACTGATAGATCCAGTTTGCACAGTTTATCTTGTACAATAATGTGAAGACCTGTTGAAAGTACAATATTAAGCTGAAAAAAGAAACAGGCGTACCTGCTATTGGATAGATGTAGTTATATCTAATCTTGTATTTCTGAGATATGAAAATATGTTTTTATATAACACCAGATTAAATACAGTGCATATGTGTATATCATTATTGTTATTGGTGTAAGAGGTCATTAAGTTGTTTAGTAGAGTAGTATTTGTGTAGACTAAAGTTAATGAGTTGAAATGTTTTGTGTGTGTAGAAGTTATTCTCCAACTTGTTTAAGTTATTATAATTAAGTTTAATGGTATGTTGTATTCATTTACTTTACTATAATTTGCTTCCTGTAGTTTTAACTATTGTGGTTTCTATATTTATTGTGACTGTAACCCATTAAGAATCAAGCACATGTACTAAACTTGTCAAGTGGATTTTCAGGTTCTGGTACACCTTTGAAATTCTGTATCATGGCTAGTACATTGTCTTACATGTAATTTTGCATTGTTATTATCAATACACTTAGATCATGGATAGATAAAATGTTATTATTAAAGATGAGAGTTTAAGTAAACTGAGGAGTGTATATGTCTGTAGTGGTTTGTTCACAAAATGCTGCATTTCCTTGACTGCAGCTTTAATAGTGTAAATATAATGAAAATGCTGGTAACACTTTCATTTGTAACTAAAGTGTAGATTGCATTAAATATATAAAAATAACTAAAACTGACTAAATAGAGCACTTACCATATTTGTATTGGTCCTAAAATTTTTTGTAGTTATGAAGAATATTTTGACATCCCACTTGTTACCAGAAAGATGAGTTAGGACACTAAAGGAGTCCTTGAGTTGTATAGTATATCTTTGTACTAGCTAACATAGATTCAGATGGTCATAGTTGTGAATAACTAGTTGTTAAAGTGATCCATTTTGTCTCATATTATTGAAACCTGTTCAACCTCATCATTTTCCTTCTGCTATAACCTTATCATCTGAATATTTTTTGCTCTCTGATAATCTTGGAATCTGAAATTTCTTTAAGATGTGTGATTTGTGCATTAGTATATTTTACAGAATTTTGTATATCACAAAACTTATTCTGTTTTACATTCATTAATCCTTCAACAGCATTCTATACATGTACACTATATTTTGGATCATAGCACTTATAGCACTCATCTTCAGTCTTTTTTACTTAGGTTGATTTCCTCTTTAAAGCATTTTCTTTTCAATTGTATCACAAAATCCTCTAATTGGTAATTTTCATGGTTTTTTCATTCATTTTACTGATATATTTTTGTTTTTGTTTTCCACATATCTGTCTTGTTCTTAAGATTTACTTCAACAATCTTATACTTTTATATCTTCTTCTTCCATCTTTTGTTGTTGAAAGATTTCCAGCATGTTATTCATTTCAATATGACTTTTCAAACCTGTAGTTAATTTCAACTCAGTTCCACTCTTTATACCTAAGTGTTATGTACTGGAGTTTCATGTGGATTGTCCCCAGGTGGAACAGTGGTAAGTCTATGGGTTTACAATGCTAAAATCAGGGGTCTGATTCCCCTCAGTGAACACTGCAGATAGCCTGATGTGGCTTTGTTATAAAAACACACACATTCATGTAGATTCTTTTGCCATTGATAAATGACTCAAGGCCTAATGAAAAATCAGAACTTGATAGTTTGTAAGAGATATACAATTATATAAATCATAACTGTCTTTTTTTTTTGTAATTTCCATTTTCTTTTCAAGCAAACAAATTGTCAGACTTCTGTTTCTTGAAAGCACTGAAACAGATGTAGTACATAGATATGTATAATTTATCTCAGAATTATCCCATATATAGTGTGACATGCATTCCACTGTATTCTATTAATCATTAGAACTTAAGTAAATTATAGTTGATCAGTTTGGTGAAATGAGTTTTGTTAAAAAAAGTTCTGTATTTTTGTTTTATTTGTAAAGCACTGTATAATAGAAAAATATATATTAAAAATAGTTAGTAGCTAATATATGTTCCCCTAGTGGGTTAGTGGTAAATTTACTAACTTGCAAGGCTAGAATCTATGTAGAGAGTGCAGGTAACTCATTATGTAGCTTTGCAGTAAAAAATGATAACAACTAATGAAATGTATGTCAATTTGATACACTCTCTCTCCTCATTTTATAGTTTTCTATCAAACAAAAGATCACAACAACCTTGAGTGTAGCAATTCACATGGTAAAGAAATTCATGTAGCTGTTAATAAGGATTTGGTCTTGTTACATCTTAGTGTATTGGCTTAGTTACTTCATACGTTTATATATAGATAAATATTGTTGTTTTTTTTGTGTGTGTGACTTCAATATATCTTAGTGGTTACTTGATTTTGGTTTTCTGTTGTGACGTTTTTTTTAGCATGGTGTCTTGAAAGTAATTTGACAGTTGTACATGCAAGCACCATTCTGTTGTTTACATTTCCCCTTGTGTTTATGTTTGGGTATTACAGAAGACCCTTATCAAGTCATCCATGACATGGGAACTTACTGTAAAAGTTTGCCCATTGCCAAATGTACGAAGAACTTTTAAACACTTAGTTCTTTTGAAATGGTGTATTTCAGTATTTTACACTCACACAAAAGAAACCTATCATTCTATAGGTATTTGAATGTTTAAACAACTCTTTTCAGTTAGTACTTTTGTAGTAGTGAATAATGCACTAGTGCTCTCTATGCAGGGATGGCACAGATGCTGGTACAGGTCATCAAAAACTAGATATGAAGAGCTATCTAACATAGTCGCTCTTTCTCCATTGTACATGCTGATTTTCAGCTATCCCGAGGGTCTCAAAGCTGAAAACTGGCGAATAGCCAAAACCAAGATTTCTTACTTTCATTTGTCATAATCTTTCTTCGACTGACCTATCACTTACCTATTTCTGGCAGTAACTATAATTTTATCATCATCTGATAGAGCAAAACAGGCTTCACGATTTTTGTCTATCTATTTTATTGTTATTCTATGCAAAATTTAAAAAAATAAAGAAATCATAATTCTAGGGGAAACGATATTACTATCCCTTGAAGCTAGCTTTCTTACAGAAATCTGGTGTCCTTAAAAAGCTTAAGTACAGGGTGAAACAGGAATTACAAGCAAACAATAGATGAACCTTAGATGACTGTAACATGTAGAATACTCAGTGCTTTGTACACTATACAATCGGTGTTCTTAGGGAGCCAACCCCCATGTTATGTATGAAATAAAGGAGTAAAAAAAAATCAATACACATACAGGTCATCAGAAGCTAAATATGAAGAGCTACCTGACATAGTTGCTCTTTCTCCAATGTATATGTCATTTTTCAGCTATTCAGAGCATCCCAAAGTCGAAACCGGCGAATAGCCAAAACCGAGATTTCTTATTTTTGTTCATCTTCATCATCATCATCTTTCTTCAACAACTTAATTCTAGTAGTAACTATAATTTTATCATCATTTCATAGAGCAAAACAGTATTCACGATCTTTAACTACTTATTTTATTATTATTATATGTAAAATTTATAAAGCTTTAGGATACACTCTATAATACAGCAACCCATCTACGCCAGTTTATAAAAAAAAAAAGTAAACAAACAAGTATTTGGAAAAAGAAATGATTGCTAAATAACAAAGCTATGTAGGGCTGACTACTGAACTTGAAAAAGGAACCAAACAAGATAAGGATGGAAGTGGACATGTTACTTGATCCAGCTAATGATCACACAGCAGACTAAGCTGTCATGACTTTACACTGGGAATAAAATCCCTACATTACTGGCTTCTTCGCTGCCAAATCAAATAGGTCCAAAATTTCTAATAGTAAAATATTACTCTATTGTAAAATAGCCATAAAATATTATATTAAAGTTAACCAAAGGAGAGGTATAACGATGAAAGATGAAATTCTATTCAAACACCAAGCTTTCGACAGACAAAGTGTGAAGGTCAGTAATTAGGGATTTTATTCTCTATGTAAATTCTGAGACGGCTTAACCTGCTATGTAATCATTAGTCAGACCAAGTGTTATGTCCACTTCCATCCCTATCTTGTTTGGTTCCTTTTTTCAAGTTTAGTAGCTAGCCATAAATTGCTTTTTTATTT